CCCAAAACCCCAAACCCGAAACCCTGCTGGCTCCGAAACTTGCATCCGCGGCACGGGTCCGACTGCGAACGGCACGGCGGGCAGTCGCGGGCGTCCGCCGGTATGGGCCCGGCGGCAGAGTCCGGACCCTGGCATGCTAGCCATGGGCCGCGGCTGCACAAGACCTTCCGCTTTACTGTCTGGTGCTTAGGGGTTTAGGGTTTAGGGTTTAGGGTTTAGGGAATGGGGGAATGGCTTATAGGGACTACTATAAGGGACCTTAAGGGACTATCATAGGGGTCCATTCCCCCACTCCCCACTAAGCACCAGACAGTTTAGGAACTTTAGGGTCCAGGTTTCAGGGTTTAGGGCTTAGGGTCCTCAACCCTAAACCCCAAACCCGAAACTAACCCCTAAATCCTAAACCCAGGTTTCAGGGTTTCGGGGTTTGGGGTTTCGCGGCTGACGGTTTTTTGGAGCCGTAGGGCTTGGGAGGTTGGGTCTGAGTTTGGACTAAGAGTCTTGGGGCATATATAGGGCTCAGCACGTACGAATCGCGGATATGGGGTTTAGGGTTTAGAGTAGGGTTTGGGTTGTAGGGTTTAGGGTTTAGGGTTTGCGGTTTGGGGTTTGGGGGAGGCAGAACCTACTTCAAAACGCGTATATGAGCCCTTGATCCTCCAAAACCACCTAACTGCAGGACCACCTGGACGGGTCTAGGGTTTAGGGTCATGCGTCTTGCTGGGAAGTTCTCGATCCGAGGCCTAGGCTCTAGGGCGTAGGGTTCCTGCTTCCATGTCTAGGGAAGTTAGTGCATACTGCTGCGTTCGACCATATCTCTACTCCGGGGAACATCTATATACCTGCTTTCCTGGAGATGGGACTAGCTTACAGATTTACAGAACCCTAGATACAAAAACTCCTAAAAAACTTATAGGATTCTCGTGCGTGAAACTTTTCTGGAACCCCAACAGAACAGACCCTAATGTAGCAAGTTCGGCCTACCTGCCTGGCCAACTGACTGACCACCGCTGCACGATGCACAGGCAGAGTCGTCCCACTCGACCTCCACCAACGGTGTAGGCTGATCGGGCTGTATGGGGGGGTTGGGTTTAGGGATTGACTTCGGCTCTTGAAGCAAAACCCGGGACAAGGGCAAACCGTAGACTTTAGGCTTTACTGGATTGGCAGCACTATCCTCCAACTGATACCCCAAACTTGGTCCAAATCTACTGCTCTTCGTCTCCAAGCCACCCGCCACGATGGTGCTGGCAGCACGTAGCGATCGATCGTGGTCACACCTGGGTTCTTCTTCACAGAGGAGGCTCGGGGGCTCTGTTGGGGTCTTACGCGGTTGTTTGGGGTTTGAGGTTACGCATCTGACTTTCAATTGCTGGAAGATTAAGAAACCATATTACCTTCTATACATTTACATAGATCTATAATATGATATATGTTGCCGTGTTATGGTAGCTTCAGAGAAAGTTCTCAACAAGAGCCCCGTCGCTGGCCACCGTCGCAATTGCGGAGATGTTGCCAGACTCTCCATACCTGGGATCTGAGTCGCTAAAACTTAAAGGATTTTTGAGAGGCTGGAATACGGGGCGTGATGTTGTTAATGAGGAGCCCTAATAATTAGAATAAGGTTTTGCGGCCCATTGTACAAGTACTATAACAAGGAACCCCCAAAATAATATAGGTGATTATTCAGGCCCCTGCATTAAGTAGGATTTAACAGGACGTTCTAGCGACTCAGGTTTTCGAGTCGTGAGCTTAGCGCTCACTTCCAAGATCCAGCGCTGTAAACCTGACCGTAACCTGTAAAGACCCTGTAGTAAAGCCGGCTAATCAAAACCCGGGAAACCCCATGAAGGCCCTGAAAAAGCCGATAGAGGCCCGTCACTAAGCCCTACTCCCTAAACGCTGAGCCCTTGAAGGTGTTGACTGTTCGGGGCTTGGGTCTTTGGAGCTTTGAAGGTTTGGGGCTGTCGGGAACAAAAATTAAAATTATGGTTTAGGGTTTAGGGGTTAGGGATTTAGACCCTAAACCCTACACCCTAAACCCTAAACCCCAAAACTCCTAAACCCTAAACCCCTAAACCCTACACCGTCAAGGCTTCCAAGGGTTTTGGGGTGTCCCTAAACCCTAAACCCTAAACCCTAAACCCTAAACCCTAAACCCTAAACCCTAAACCCTAAACCCTGTTTTTTTGTGAGGGGGCTGGGGGGATTTGGATCTCGGGCCTCGGCTCGGGGTGCAAGCGGATGTGGGGGCCTTAAAAATTAGCTTAGGGTTTTAGGGCTTAAGGTTTTAGGGTTTTAGGGTTTTCGGGTTTTAGGGTTTGGGGTTTTAGGGTTTTCGGGTTTTCGGGTTTCGGGTTTAGGGTTTAGGGTTTAGGGTTTAGGGTTTTAGGGTTTTAGGGTTTTAGGGTTTTAGGGTTTTCGGGTTTTCGGGTTTTCGGGTTTAGGGTTTAGGGTTTAGGGTTTAGGGTTTAGGGTTTTTAAGGCCTTGGGGCTTAGATAGGGTTTTGAAGTTCAGGGAGCAGGATTTGGCGCGCAAGAGCTATGGGG